TCTCTAGTTGGATAGTTCTTTTCAGCAAATGAACAGAAGATAGAGATGATGCTACTTCCAACGAAGTCCCAGTCATAATTCTCGTAACCACATTATCGTTTTTTTTTTCTTGTTGTATTTGTATTTGTTTTTATTTCAATAATAGTTCATGAACTGTTACACAAAATATACAATATAAATTCACTTATTAATTATGTTTACGATATTATATACCCCCAGATGCATAAAACATCTGTATGGGCTAGATATGGGCTGTCATCGAACGAATCGAAAAAAAAGTGTTCTGAAATTGATTGTGTTGGTATAAAACATTTTGCTAAATTAGGAAAGTCTTTGATGTTCACCCCTTTAATATTATTTGGTAACAAATTGTATAGTGTAGGTCCTAAATATTGAACAGATTTCTTATAAAACTCACTATGACATCTTGGAATAGCTAATTGCTTATTAACATTTATTCTGCAGTTAAACATTCATGATTCATAGTGTGTTTGATTTCCTCGTGTTTATGTAAATAGCAACATACTGTATAACAATACACGCTCGTGTCAGACAAACCTATGCGTTTACTCTCACTACTTATCTGCAGCTATTGATTCAGGGGAGCAGGTCGACTCAGTTTATTTTGATTTTAAGAAAGCTTTTAACAGAGTTGACCATGTTATTCTCATGAGCAAACTCGAATCATTTGGCGTTAAGGATCCTCTTCTAGCATGGGTAGCAAGTTATCTTCGTAATAAAACACAAATCGTCAGGTTCGGTGGTTCCATATCAAAGAAAATAATTATAACATCTGGAGTACCCCAGGGTTCAAATTTGGGTCCTATTCTGTTCCTCGTATTCATCAACGACCTAGTCAATGTATTCACTAACTGCCAATTCCTCCTTTATGCTGATGATCTAAAATTTTTTTAGAATAATCTCTAGTAGTCTTGATTGTTCACTTTTACAACTTGAGGTCAATAAAATATCAGAATGGTGTACATCAAATGGAACCGAATTGAACATCTCCAAATGCAAGATTATATTTTTTTCTCGCAAAAAGCTCCCAATTCTCCACTCATACTTTATTTCATGTTCTCAACTGCCCAGAGTAGACCTAATAAATGATCTAGGAGTAATTTTCGATTCCAAATTAAGATTTAACAAACCCTTAAATCATATCCTGGCTAAAGCTTTCAGAATGGCAGGTTTTATTATACGCAGGTGTTGGGAATTTCCCAATGTTGAGGTATGAAAGTCTCTCTACTTTTCTTTGGTGCAAAGTCAACTTGAATATTGCTGCGTGATCTGGTCGCCATATTACCAAGTCCATATTAAACGCGTCGAACGAGTTCAAATGAAGTTTGTTAACTTCTTACTATATAAACTGAGGATCGATAAAAGCCAGTTTTCACATCAAGATTGTCTGCAACAGCTAAATATCCAAAGCCTGGAGATACGTAGGGTTTCCCTTACACTTACGTTTGGGTTAAAAATAAGTACCTACTAATAACATAAATTGCTCTGAACTCTTAGCACTTCTGAACTTTCGGATACCATCTATCATCACACGCCTGAATAATCTATTCGTAACTGATAGAAGCTGAACCGACATTGTCAAAAATAATAGTGCTATGAACCGTATTATGCGTCTTTTCAATACGTATATCACCATGAATTTTGATTTAAACTGCATGTCCTGAATGATCTCAGACAAATAAGACCTTGGTAAGCATAGTTAACAAATTGCTTCAATCACTTCTTAACTCTTGATAAGTTGCAGCTCCGATATATGGGTATGGTTAGCCAAAAAATCGTTATTGGACATGACTTCAATTCTTAGCATAGTTTACTTTATATATATTTTTTTTATATAGACTTAGTACATAAGTTATATCATTTGGAGTTTGCTCTGTTATGTATTGTAGAAAATAAATAAATAAATAAACACAGTGTTCTTAAATTTATGATTTTATTATTGTATAATAGACGAGTTGGATATAGGAATTTTTTTTTGAAAATAATCTTCAATTCATATGCTGTTTTGTATGACCTGAAGAGGTCTCAATAAATTATTATATGTATTACCCCAAACCAGTATTCCATATTTTAGGATTGACTCTACCAAACTGTGATTCACGCTTATCAAGATACTTGTACCAAGCATTTGTCTTATCGTATAAAATTTGTAAGTTAGGTAGGTATTTTAATTTTTGAGTTAGGCATGTACTATTTAAGTCCCATTTGAGGGACTTGTCAATAACAATTCCAAGGTATTTAGTTTTTGTAACCTCATATATTTTTTCTGTTGAATTATTGATTTTAATAAAAGAAAATGATGGACGGTTTACTCCTGTTTTAGTGAAGGCAATGTAGTTGTTTTTTTTTATATTCAAGGATAACTTATACCCATCAAGCCATTCCTTCACTAGCCCAAGACCACCGTGTGCGTTTTCTCTAGTTTCCTGCCAGGTAACCCCATAAAAAAGCACAACGGTATCGTCAGCGTATGAGAAAATTGTTCCGTTTATTTTCAGGTCAGTCATTGATTTAATATACAAGTTGAAAAGGAAGGGACCCAGTACAGTTCTTTGTGAGATTCCAATCTTCATAAAGCGGGGGTCACGGGTCACTCAAGGTGTTCCGAATTTTTACTTGTTGTTATCTGTCTAGGTAGTTTTCAAAGAGCCTCAACACAGCGCCTCTCACACCACTCCGTTCAAGGACTTCAAGGAGCCTTTTATGGGGCACTGTGTCGAAGGCCTTCGCCAGATTAAAAAACACTGCCAAACACCTTGTATCAACATCTAGGTTTTGCTTTATCTTTTCTGTTAAATTTGAAAAAGTATCACTAGTGCCAAGACCCGTTCGTAAAATCAAATTGATTTTCAGAGAGGAGTCCATTTTTCGATTTGAAATTCAAATTTCTTGGTCCCGTGACGAAGTGAAGGTCAAATTTCTGATTGGCCAGTTTTATCCAGTGTTGTCCAGATGTTATGGATTTCATATAAACTTTTCCTGGCGGTGACAATTAAATCGTTATATCGAATCCACAGATTTGTAAGTATCGGAATGTGGAATCGATTCTCATCCTAATGAAAAACTAAACCCAACTTTTTAATTCTGGCCGCGTTCACCAGATACAAACGTTGGTAAACGGTTTGCGATTGTTCTGCTGAACGTTACGTTGAATTTGTGTTAAAACCAAACATGTTTTGCAAACGGTCGCCATTTTTGCAAGCATTATTTCAGAGTGTCTATTAATTTTCAACGCTGTGTTTTGTGTGGTGACCTGTCATTCAGAAGGTGACGTTCTATCATTGAGAAGTTGAATCGTTCAGCAGAACCAAGAGTTTACTCCACATATTCTGTTGGTTTTTGTAAACTGTTTACAATCCGTTTTGGCTCTGGTGAACGTGGCCATATAATCAATAGGGCATGTCCATGTGACGTCACAAATGAGTTTGACAGTCGCCCTGAGGTAAAACAAATCATTTATTTACATTCGTGTAGATTAGGCCAGTTATGTTATAGGCGGTTTTCGGTTTTCACAGCTTTAAGTTTTTGTGTTATTTTGTTCTAAAAACGTTGGAGTGGAGTGTTTGTGTTCCAGTCTATGTGGTCTTTTATCTAAAAATTTGCTAAAGTGTGTTTTTTTTTTAAAGATAAAAGTCAAAGTGACATTATGTTGGCAATACAATGTAAAATTGTCAATGCTTTCAAATTTTTATTGTAGGAAAGGCTTGTGTTGCCAACATAGTTACTAAATTTTTGACTTGGGGAATTATCTTAAAAAAAAAACACACTTTAGGTTTTCTTATAATGGATTAATTTCAGGTTTTTCCCAACAAATATCAAATCCAAGTGTCACAAGAACATATATATGTGCATATAACTATAGTTACTCTATATTCAATCTATTTTTCTGTCAGATCTTTCTCTTTAAGAACATTAATCAATGTTTCTCTTCTTTTTTGAGCTAACAAATCAAACCTCCCATTGTTATTTGAAATTGATGGAAACCTATGGAAAGATATTGTATCTTTTGCGCTATACTGCACCAATTAACAACTAAACAAACTCTAGGCATGTCCAAGAAACTTTTGGATCACACAAAAGGTACTTATTTAAAAATAATCTAACTAAAAACTTAAAAAACACTGTGAATTATATCTCCGTTTTACCTCAAGGCGACTATCAATAGTGTCAAACTGTCAAATCGTGTACTTGCCCTATAGCCGCTTTCGGAAAGTGTGATCCGATTAATCGGTTCGATCGGATTAGTAATCTCATCGTTCGTAAAATGATCCGAAATCGAGTACTTGCGTTCGCTAAGTGATCATGTCGACTCAATTTTCTCATATGTTTGTGATCTCGTTAACCCTGCACTTGATGTAGGTAGAAAATTAATCTATCAGCTGTTTGATTTTATTATGTTATGTTTATTCCATATCGTCGGTCTCATGACATAAGGCCCTATCTCGTTTTTCGCATGTTTTCAGGAGAGCAATTGAAAGAAAACTGATATCTTCTCGCCAACCAAATACGAAGAACTATACCGATTTTCGGACTCTTTTTTTGGAATTATGAATAACAAATTATGTAAATTTTTTATCAAATACCACATTTTAAAATATTAATTAACATTTGGTTATAATGAAGGTTTTTGTGAGATAGGGCCTTTTGTGAAGATACTTAGAATATTATTGGCCTATTTTGGTCGAGATAGGCCCTTCAAAGTAGAAATAAAATAACCGTTTTTAAGCATGTTTTTTTATTTAGGTACAACACAAAACAGAAAAAAATTGCAAAAAACAAAGCAAAACCAACTTAATAGGTAAAGTTCATGTTTGAAAAACATTATAAAAGAAAAATATTATTTTAAAACGAAAACAAAATAAACTCTAAAACACATCGAATTTTGTCATTATTTTAACATAAAAAACTGAAAATGTATCTCTACGAAATTCAAATTTCTGTTATGAAAGATTCACATTATTTACTATAAAAAATACGACTTATTTTTGAGTATGTGGTAATGAGTGGTAAAATAATTTATCTTCAGGCGAGGAAATAACAGGCTTAAGGCCAGAACAAAGGGACATTAGATTTTCATACTTTAGCAGAGATAAAGGTCTCTGTTCTTTATTTAATTTTTTGACCGTTAAAGAATGTCGCATCTGCCTTTTTAAAGACATTGAACGGTATTGCTTGTCTACGTGGCTAGTTTTGAAAAATATTTTATTAGGATTTTTCTTTTTCACAAGAAACTCAAATACATCCGACCATTTAAATTCAGTTCCGGTGTCATCCGTTTTTATAGATTTGATTCTAAGATCTTCGCTTAACGTTTTATAGTCTAAAAAGTCATTATAATTTAGATGGTAAACTTTATAAGGCTTGTTTCGCCTTGCCAAGCGAAATACTGGAACCAACTGGCTGGGAGTGAATAAATCTCCAGCTTTTTTAATAGCGTACGTAATTGCACTATGGGCAGAGTCTCCTTCACTCTGCCCATGGTTAGGCGAAAAAAATCTGAGACTTATTTCCTTTAAGTGTTTTGATTGTAACACTGTATACAAAAGTGCAGTTGCCATAATTGAATTTTTATTTTGCCCGCCACAACCATCCGCAAATAACTGGGCGGAAGAAATAAGTTTTTCTTCGTCGTATTTTTTTAAGATCATTACAACAGCGGTAGAAATTTCATTAGATCCGCGACCACTAGAACATTCATGCCAAGTTAGACAATAACAATCACGGTTGGCTAAGTCATAAATCGTAAAATTAAACACAGAAAACCTACGTTTATAAAAAATGGCATTGTCATTAGATATAGGTAATGATATCACCTGTTGCAAATCTAAACAAGCACAAAAAATTTTTGGATCATTTTTAGCCGCACTTTTAAAATTTTCTTTAAGTTCACGAACTGCCTCTTTCTCTACTATGTGTTTATCATAAATTTCTTTTATTTTTATTTTCTCTTCTTCACTTGCTTGGTGATAAACTCTGCACGTTCCACACTGATCGTTTTTAGGCCTATGGAATGACAAATTCATTTTTTTGAAAATAAACCTGTATAACGAAAAACTAGGTTTGCTTTCGGTGGACTGCAACTCTTCGATAAACATGTCGTACATCTTTCGTAAACTTAAATCCCCATGCAAATATTCTCTGGAACTATCTTTGCGACAGTAGTGGGACTCAACACGGGGGAATTTATTAATGTGATTGATTATACTGTCTCTTACAGCCCTATCTTTGAGTGCAGATATCTTATCGCGGCCACCACGTTTTTCTTTCTCTAATACGCCAGTGCTCTGAACTTTTTTGACAGCATTGCGCAGTACTTTTTCACCTACATCCAGTGTGCTAATAAACATCTTACGGCACACCTTAGTTGGTTCACCATTAAATGGAAGGAAAAAAGTTTTCGTGTATGTTCGTCGAGACTTACCGTCTGGTTTTGTATTCGACTTTTTTAGTTTTTGTTCTACGAATCGAACAAGAAATTCTCGTTGTAACTGCAAATCAGCCAAATTATAAAAATCCGAAAATATAGCTTGCCTTATTTCTTCGGTAAACTTTCTGCATTCCCGTCCGCCTTTTTTACACCATTCTGCATTACAAGCCGGTCCTATTTTACGCATTGGTATTCTCTTCTGTGTTTTCACGGAAACATACTCTTTTCCACTATTTCTTAAAGCTTTTGCAAGTTTACGTTTATTTGTCCTTGGCTGCTTCACAGGTTGATACTCTCTTGGTGACCCTTCTACAGGAAAGTCTTCTGGGATTTCCATTATTTTCTTAGCAGGCTTTTTGTCGATCTGAATGGGCCGTTTCTGAATGACATCTTCATCACTCCCTGATTCCAGAGGATGATGACTAGCGCAGTTTGATGATTCTTCTCGGAAATGATCCCAACATAACAGTATTAGGCATCGGTGACAAGAACTCCATACTTCTTGCTTGCATCGAGGAACTTCACAACTTTGTACGTATGTTGGATCTTCTCTGTCGCTTAGGTCAATATCGCTGAACGGTTCACGTAGATCATTATCTGACTCATTCGTATCTTCTATCAGTTCTATCTCATGTTTAGTTGATTTTTTATTATCATGGACATCCATTTTTAAGATACCATAAGTCTGAAAAGTATTTATTACTGTAAGAAAAACTTACAAAAATAATAGTAAAATTAGCACCTACCAACTTTTTAATGCAACTTACAATGCAATGCTTGCGGTATTTTGATTTCGACTGTCGATTGTGAATTTTGACCTCTTGAAGCACATACTGAAAGGATTGTTTATAGGCTGGCCGATAAAATAAATAAACACGACGACGGCGACGTCCCTGGATATACTTTCAACCAAAAAAACACCTATACCTATACCATTGGCATTTTCGAGATTCTATCGAAAATTGTCACGACAAAAAGCCCTATCTCAAGATTCGCCTTTATGTTATAATAAAACTGTTCATATGTCAAGATAGGGCCATGTGTTTTGTCAATTTTTTAAACAAATAAATTGATTTCAAGATAAGACCCTTGGCTAGAAACAAATACACTAAAAATGCAATATTTCTATGAACTTAACGCATTTTGGCCCTATCTCGAGATAAGGCCCTATGTCATGAGACCGACGATATGTTTTGTTTCTTGCATCGCTTGTAGTCTTTTTGTCTGTGAGAAGTTAAGCATAATTATATGGGTGGTGGTCTGTTACATCACAATTTATTAAAGACCAACAAATACCATTTTAAAGTCACGTGATTTTTCTCTATCCTTGTTGAATACATCTCAAACAGCGGTGATAGTAAAATTGACAAAAAAATTGGTGTCTAATTATTGTTCATAAAATTCTTACCTGAAATAGAATCCGTCACTGTCATCAATTAGTTTGTGAAAATTATTTTCTAAAATGATACAACGAACAAACCATACAAACACAGCTGATAATTTTGACTATATTAACCTTTTTCCAACTTGAAAAGAAGCAAATAGAAAACGGGTACCCAATTTAAGTTCAGAATGTATTACAAGGGGCAGAAGCGACAAAAGTGAGTCTCGCAACAATTGCAAGTATCAAAATTCTTATCTGATTGGTCAATACTACTTCAGGAGCACGTTCGTAAAATGCTAGTGGGAACATATCTTAAAATTCAATAGTAATTAACCACCAGTAGCTTTTTGTAGGTGATATCAACGACATAATCAATGAACATACGTTTTTTGACACCAATATCACGTGACTCTAAAATGGTATTAGACTATCCAAAACACGTGACACAAATATGGCCGACAAGAGGCACACAAACATTTGACACAAATACAAACCATAACGTCATTAGGTTATGTCATTAATGATCATAATCAAATACTCATTTTCTATTGTGTGCGTCTCAATTTTTGGCCGTTTCTACCCAATTACGCAATCCTCATCGTTTGGGCAAGGTTGCTCTACCTACATTTCACTTGGACACCCAGGACCTACCCTTAAAATGTGAAAATATTTATTTGTTGCCACTCCACCGTCCAGTGTTGTGCTACCTACTTTAAATAATGGATACAGGAGCATCTACAGAAAGACGATGAAACAGGCAAGGAAGATTTATTACAATGAGAGGTTGGGCATCCGCTTCCAATAAACAAAAAGAGTAACGACTTACGCGAAAAAAAAAAAAGAAATATACATATGTGCTTCCAATTTGAAAGCAGATAATATTAATTCATACTACTGTACGATTGCTCAGAAACTGAGTATCAAAAATAGAAAATCTTCTGGATGGGACGATATCTCAGTTAGGCTGTTGATGTGTTGGCGGATTCCATTATTAATTCTTTTCTTACCGGAAGTTTTCCCTCATTTTTGAAGCAATCTTGGGTAGTACCTTTGTTTAATAGGGGGGTGATAAGAATTTACCATCTTATTACCGGCCAATTTCCTTACTGGCAACTTAGACTAAAATTGTAGAGTGGCTAATTAAAGTGGATGGTGAGCTTCCTTGAAAGACATAAATTGCTTTCTCTGTCTTTGTTTCAGCAGTCAAAAAACACTGATGATGCCATATTTCATCTCCTGGATGAGCTGTATTAGAAGATAAATGACGAAGAAGTGGCCGCGGTAGTTTTTTGTGACCTGAAAAAAGCTTTCGATTGTGTCTGTCATGAAGTACTGCTTCTACGGGTGCAGTACTTCAGAGGGGTTGGATATCACTGCAGGAGTGCCCTAGGGATCTGTTCTACTTCTAACATTAATAAAAATACGAGTAAAAAGAACGAGTATCAAAACGCAAATGAAAAATGCGCACTATTTTTTTGAAAAAAATTTCATGACACATTGAATGAAACATAAAAAAAGGGTTTGTGTGCCTCTTGGCGGCCATTTTAATTCAAGTTTGACAGCATCTTGGATAGTTCAATTTGTCGGACTTTATGAGATTCGATTTTTAGGTTAGGTACTGAGTTTAATATTAGTTTAAACAAAAAAGTGGTCCAGAGAGGTCCTCGATATCTTTCTGGTAACTGAGTTGATGTATGGCTGGAAGCCATATAGACCCAGAGTCGATAAATAGTTTGTCACTTTCTGGTCCTCACTATCCATGAGATTTACATTAGTATCCCTCACAATAACTTCTATGTTTTCAAAATTATAGTTTGAGAGATATAAATGTAGATCTGCTATAAATTCATCAATAATGGTTTGAGGTGAACGGTAAATGCCTGTAATGCCGTATGCCCCGTATGCTACATTATTTTGGGTTAAATTAATCTTACCTATTGTTATTTTGGTGTTAAGAAAGAAGTTTTATTTTATCGCTGGCATAAAAAATTTCAAGCCTTCTCGGTCCGGTAAATGAGAATGGGTTCATTTCGTTAACACATCTCCTCATTTCCAGGATCAATTTTTTGAACGTCTCCTTTTTCGTGCATCCCTTTACACACATTTCCAATTCGTTTTCTCATCTCGTCCATCAATATTCTATTGAATAACAGAACCCCGCGGAATTCGCAAAATATCAGAGAGAGAAAAACTGAAAATCACTTTCAAATAAATTAGACTCGATAGTGAACACATACATATTGATCGACCCCTGTTTGCCAGTAGTGAATGGAATTTTCGAGAAGTTTGGCCTTGAAGGAATAATCTAGCCGATGAGTTGTTGATGGGCATAACTGGATATTTCTAGTAACGGATTTTCGGATAAAACGGAGAAGGCTTGGAAGGGTATATAGCCTGCCACATCGGAATGGTAGTAGGGACGCGGGTCATAAATTGAAAGGAGTTTTTAGGATGATGGATATAGTTGGGCGATCAGGATTAGTTCAAAGTGCTGTAGTAGTGTCAGGATTTTTCCGTTATCCTGTTAAATTAAATTGGTTATACAACTCACTGTACATTATTCCCATATGACACGAGAGGCTTAACAAGTGATAAGCCTTTTGGGATTATCGCGCTTGGTGGCATTTATGGCAAATTCTATTATAGATTTTTTTTTTAAATTTTAAAGTATTAAAGTTTAGTTCATTGTATAACCTTTTGAATACCACTCGATGTTTCAGGATTACCTAATACTTTTACCTGACACTCAACGCGTTACCAGCAACACCACTCCTCCTTTGGAGTCGTGGTGTTGCTGCGTAACACGTTTCGTGACAGGTAAAAGTATTATCCGGTAATCCTGAATCCTCTTGTGGTATTACATTCGATTATACAACTCACTGTACATTATTCCCATATGACACGAGAGGCTTAACAAGTGATAAGCCTTTTGGGATTATCGCGCTTGGTGGCAATATTGGCAATAACATTTGCCAATAAAAATCAATAAAGTATTGAAGTTTAGTTCGTTGTATAACCTTTTGAATGCCCCTCGATGTTTCAGGATTGCCTAATACTTTTACCTGACACTCAACGCGTTTCCAGCAACACCACTCCTGCTTCGGAGTCGTGGTGTTGCTGCGTAACGCGTTTCGTGACAGGTAAAAGTATTATCCGGTAATCCTGAAACCTCTTGTGGTATTACATTAGAAAATGTACCTATGCCATATCTACGATCTCGCATTCGTAACAATACGATGAAATAACGATACGACAAATTGGCTTGTCGAGTCATGACGTATTGTCATATAGGGTGAATTAACGATACGACAAATGAAAACTAAATATTGTGTCTAAATAAACTGAATAAAATTCAATTTAAAAACAAGGTGGGTGCTTGTTATAACAATAACCTAATCAGAACCGGAACTGGGACTTTCCTGATAATCCAACTGATGTAGATAAAGCTCCTGATCAGTTTTACAAAGAAGTTGTCAATTTCATTGTGCAATATGTCCCTCAAGAAAAACATTGTAACTTCACAGATCGGAAAGAGAACTATCCATCGAAATAATGCATAGTTGTTATATATTGGAACAACAAATAATATATCTTCCTCAGATCTCAAATAATTCTTATAATACCAAATAATTTTGGAATATCCTGAGAAGCATGTAAGGCAAACTAAGGGGGCTGTCAAGGGAAATAACAGAGCTTAATCATATCGGTCCCGACGGGTTATCTGCCTATATTTTGAAAGGGTGTATGTATTGATTCCATAATTATTAAGCTGCTCAAAATATAATTCAATGATTAAATAAATGAAAATTGAATGAGGTTATTCCTGTTAAAAAGAACAAGGGACAGATCTATTACAAATTATCGTGGAGTCTGTATTGCCAGTGCCATCTTTAAAGTAAATGAGTGTAGGTATTTTGTTCCATACACTTTGTGATCACGTGGTTTCGGAAATACCACCAACTTAACATGATAAATTTAGCAAGTTTTTGTCTGTATTTTCATGAAGCCTCGCTATTTAATTTTTCATTACTTTACATCAAGAAAACTGTATTAATTTGTTTTTAAATATAATCCTTCTTTTTGCGCTCGAATGAATATCATTTAGTAGAGAATCCTTAAGTAACGCTGGACCGTAACTTCTTGGCCCTCTAAAGTTTTCAAAGTTTATGGTGAAGGATTTTGAGAAAATTATACTAACATTTTAGGAAGGTTGAATCAGAACTTTGAGAGTTACGAGAGGCAGTGGAAAATATGCCGCATCCGGTGAGTCACCTCTGCTTACA